TTATACCTGAGGGTCAATTTTAATAGCTTTTCTTTCCTTGAGTATCTTAAATATAGGTTTTCCCCCGGTGTAAGTGTTGCTGTCAAAGTCTGATGGTAATCTCATTTTATTTCCTTTTTTATTCTTTTGCCTAGGTGTCCAAAGACTTTTTCTCCTTGAATCCTTGTGGTTTTGCTGGGGTGCATCTGGGGTTGGTTATTCCGGATTTGTGTCCTCAGGGGTGTGTTGTGTTCTTCTGATGTGCAGTTTCACATCTTTTTTATTTAGAAACGTCTTGCCTAACGGTAGTTAAAAAAAGAAAGTTTTGTATTTTCTGTTCTCTTGTTTTCCTTTTCAGAGGTTCCTGTTAATCGTATGTTGTATCTTCTTTACCTGTTTGAGCAATTTTTACTTTCTCTTGAATCTTTTAAAAATCTCTTTTAAAAAAATTTATCCCTTTTTTTTTCCTTTTCACCTTCTGTTTCTGTCTTTTTTATTTAAGAGATGGAGTCTCGCTCTGTTACCTGGGCTAGAGTGCAGTGGCGTGATCACAGCTTACTGTAGCCTCAGACTCCTGGGCTCGAGGGATCCTCCTGCCTCAGCCTCCTGAGTAGCTGAGACGACAGATGCCACCACGACCAGCTAACTTTTCTATGTTTTGTAGAGATGGGGTCTCACTATGCTGCCCAGGCTGGTCTCGAAGTCCTGAGCGAAAGCGATCCTCGCTCCTCGGCCTCCCAAAGTGCCGGAATTACAGGTGTGAGCCACGGTGCCTGGCCCTATTTCAAATTTAGGATTATTTCTGTAGGGTGGGTCTTTTTCTTTTAACTTTATTTCGAGTTAATTCTAGACTTACGGAAAAATTACGGAAACAGTACATAGAGTTTCCACATATCCCTCACCCAGTTTCCCCTGATGTTAAACATTGGTATGATATTCACTAAAGACCTTATTTGATATTTTTCTTAATTTCTAAAAAAATGACTAACTTTATTTTTTAGAGCCGTTTTAGGTTCACTGAAAAACGAGAGGAAAGCGCGGAGATTTCCGGCACACTCCCGCCCCGACAGCCTCCCCTGCTGTCAGCGTCCCATCACCGTGGGGCGTTTGCTACGGCGCGTGAACCTCCGTTGACGCGTCATCACCCCGAGTCCGTGGTTTACACGCGGGTTCACGCGTGTGCCCTGCGTTCTGTGGGTTGTGACAAACGTGATGGCCGCGCCACCTTTGCGTCCTCACGCAGAGTGTTTGCGCTGCCCGGAGATCCCCCGCGCGTCGCCTGCCCTGCCCCCAGCAGCCACTGGTCGTCCCACCGTCTCCGGGTGCCGCCCTTGCCAGAGAGTGGCACGCTGGAGTCGCAGCGGGCAGCCTTGTCAGACCCGCGTCCACGTGCGCCAGTCGCGTCCTCCTGCGGAGAGCACTGCCTCTCCTCCCGCGCCCGCCTTCGCCCGCGCGGCTGCTCACACGGGCGTGGGCACGTTCGTAGGTGGCGATCCGGCCAGTCCACTTTGTTGCTCACGTGGCCCCGGCTTTGGCCACCACGAGCCCCTTCTGGTCGGTCCCTGTGTCCTTTCGCCACGACCCACACTCTTCTGCCTCCTTCTTGACACCACGCAACGGTCCAGGCTCACCTTGCGTACTCCCTGCCACGGCTGTGCGTTGGCCGTTTCTCCGAGGGGTGCGGGTCCCTTTGGCCGCAGCTGGCGTTGGGAAGCGGGATCTGGGTGTGGGTCTGCGGCTCGTCTCTGTCGTTAGCAGGCGACTCTCTACCCCTGCGTGTCCTGTGGGTTTGGCGTGCGGAGGCGGCTGCGTGTTACTTGGTGTGTAGATACCCACGTGTTGTATCTTCGTTGCGAGCTGTAACTTTTAGCATTAGGAAGTGTCCACGTTCGTGGTCACCCGGCCTCTGCTTGTTGGCCCGCGGTGCCGGCGTCACTGCCTCCAGCCTCCCCGAATCTCTTCGGTGCCGGTGAGTCTCTGTTCAGCGTGTGCTCGTGCTTTGTTTTATGAGCCACGTTGAAAATCCTTTTCTTCTACCAGATGAGTTAAACCCATTCGCCTTCATCGATGTGGCGGACGTGCTTTGTCTCGACGCGCCGTAGTGTTCCATTGTCCTGGGCGTTTTCGTCTTCGCTGTGTCTCTCCCCCAGGAGTGTGTTCTGTGCTGCTTGTTTGAATTTCTTGTGGGCACTTGGGGACGCGGGCCACGCCCTCTTTCCACCTGGCGGTCGTCATCTTTGAAAACTAGCGGCGACACGAGGAACGTCTCAGAGCTGACAGTTCCGGGCTAATTGTCCTGGGCACCCACTGGGCCTTGCCACGTGTAGATTTTGGTCTTTTTCTGCATTTGGGACGTTTTCTTGGATTGTGGTTTCAATCTCCCTCTGCTCCGTTGTACTGATTTTCTTCCTCGGGGGCTCTGACGACAGGAGAACGGTTCTCTCTTCGTGGCCTCCGCGCCCACCGTTTCCCCACCCTCTGTGCCCCTCGCCCCATCACCGTGCCACTGCGTCCCCGCGCCCTCCCCCCCCGCCCCGTGACCGTCCGTTCTGAGGTAATTGGGCTCTTCCTTCCCTTTCTGGTCCAATAAACTCCAATTTCATTTCCTTGTTTTTTTATTTTTTATCTGATTTTTAACTGTTCCCTGGTTTTGGGAGTTTTTGATTCAAGGTGACTTTCATATCCTCAAACGCTGGTTTTAAGCATACTCTGTTTTGTTGAAAGCTTTGTCTCACGGTTTTCCTGTTTTTCACGGGTGGATTTGTCAACGATACGTGTGGAAGTTCATTTCCCGACTGTCCGCAGCGGCTCCGACCCTCCGGTTCGTTTTTGTGGTTTTCGGTGGTTTCCAGGCTCCGTGGTTCAATGGCGCCCTCTCCTGGCTGCGTTGCCAAGTGCAGGCCGTTGGGCAGGCTGCGCAGGAGGCCTGTGGCCAATGGGGAGGCTCTTTTGTGTCGCAGGACCCTGAACTGCTCCTTTCCTTCTTTCCCTGTCACCACCCACCAGTCATGGGCTCCCCGGGACACCTTTGCCCTCTGAGGACCCCCTCCCGCCCCATGCTGCAAGGTGCCTTCCCCGTGCTCTGACCTGCCAGGACAGCTGTTGAGGGTCTCTGGTCCCCGCCGCCGGCTTCCTGGCTGTGGTTCCGATTGACCTCAGCCCCTGCCCCGTCCTCTGTCTTTGCCACGTGGCCTTGCTGGGGGGTGGCAGATCACACTCCGGGACGTGCCCGTTCTCTTACTCGAGTTGCTTGGAGGTTTGGGCGTCCTTGTCTTCCCCCGTGCAGACGGCGTGGTGCTCTCGTGGGTCTGCCCGCCCTCCTGTTGTTCACAGTTGCTTTTGCAGGAGGTAGCCGGACGCGGGCAGCGAGGCAGCATGTTGTCCTCGGCCTCCTGGAAGTGACGTCGAGCTCTCTTCTGAGGCTTTTGTTGCTACTGTTCCTTACGGCCCGCTCTCGGTGGCCTGACGTGTGTGTGCGGATCCCACGGACAGTAGGGCGGGAGGGGAGGGGTGCGGGCAGGTCTCGTGCTGTCACAGCTCACGACACGCTGGTGCTGGCTGCCACTTTGACCCGAGCTGCTTGCTGTCTGGCTGTGTACTGGGGACAGGTGGAGTGGATTAGAAATCCCCCCAGTCCCAGAGCCACCTGCTGCTGTCCCAGGTCTGCTGTGTGCTCGGAGCTCTCAGCCCACTGCTTGGGTGGGGGGTGCTTGGTGGATCCAACCCCCGCTCCCGGGATTGGACTTCTCTCCTCCGAGACAGCCCCGAGGTGCTGGCGGCACTGGGGTCTGAGGTTCTGGGCCGGTCTGGGTGGATGCCAGGGAGCGAGGCAGAGCCCGGAGCAGGGCCACCTCCCCGGCGTGTGCGCAGAGCCCTGGGCCAGCTGGGATTCGGCGGACGGTGATTCTGTCTGGGTTTTGCGCGGAGCGTTTGCAGCAGGTGGGATTTGTGCGGCACGCCGGAGCCCGAGACCAGCCTCCTTTTATTTTGCTCCTTTCAAGAGCCCTGGGACGGGGCAGGTTGGGCGTCCAAAGTGCCATTTTCACGGGCCCTGAGCTGGGCGCAGGGCAGTTTGCAGCAAAGGCGAGGACGGTGTGGGAGGCGTTTGTGAGCGGAGGGAGGCCGGGGTCCTCAGCCAGCGAGCTCACCCCCTGGGGGGGGCCGTTTACTCTGACGATTCTGAAAGCAAGGCCTGGAGAGGAGAGAGCAAGTCCTTTTCCAGCTCGGCCCTGGCCACACCGCCAGCGGGCCGTGCCCCAGGGGCCCAACCGAGTGTCCAGGGGTGGTGCGTGGTCCAGTCCGCTGGGTGCCCCTCGAGGGACGGCCGCTGCCAGGTGGCGTCATGGCGGTGGGGCCCGTTCTCCTCCTCGTTCCTTTTTGCTGTTGATCTCGCCCCAGCGCTGGGAGGTGTCTCAGTTTGTCTCCAGCACAAAATGCCCCTGGAGGGCTGTTGTGGAGACTGAGGAGGGAACCGCTAAGGAAACCTAAATGGTTCCTTCACACGAGGAGAAGTGGCCACCAAAGTGCCTCGAGGCGGGTCTGAGGGGGGGGCCTCAGTGGTGCCTCCTCCCTTGACTCTCGCACCGGTGATTAAGGTCGGAGACACACCAAGAAGCAGGGCAGAGTGGCCCTGGGGCCCGAGACAGGAGAAGGGACACAGCAGGGCACGGCCAGGCCTGGGCCCCTGGCTGCAGGGCTGCTGGCACGCGGGCCGGGCGGGACTCGCGACCTCCAGCGTCTTAGACCTTGAAGGAGAAATGCCGTCAAATGCCGTCGTACTCTTTGCACTTGAATACACACGAGCAACTTTAACATCAGAACGCAGACGCTTAGTTGTGCCGAACGGAACAGCGAGAGCTGTCCGTTGGGAGTTCTGTAGTCTGTGCCCAGTGGGGCGACGTGATGGAGGTGAGGTGACACCAGGTCCTTGAGGGGCCTCCAAACACGAGTCACCCCCTTTCCTCCTGCCCTCAGCCCACCTCCGAGCACCACTAACACGACCGTCTCTTTCTCGTCACCAGGGGTCGGGCCCAGGCTCGGTGGTCCCAGGCAGCTCCGGCGTCGGAACCCCCAGACAGTTCACGCGGCAAAGAATCACGCGGGTCAACCTCAGGGACCTCATATTTTGTTTAGAAAACGAGCGCGAGACAAGCCATTCACTGTTGCTCTACAAAGCATTCCTCAAGTGACGCGGGACGGCGTGGCGTGCGGCAGACGCCTGGGACGTTTTTATATATTTGCAGATTACGCCTTTTTGTAACAAGCAAATGGGATATTGTTTAAAAAACAGCCACCTCTTTACAATGGAACAGTTTTATATTCCTGTTTCTAAATCAACTCTCCAGTACGAAAGAAAATACGTTTCTGTAACCGAGAGAATACAAAGGCCTGTGGATACTCCTAAAGGACAATTAAATCTCAACTCATCTTCGATCGAGTGGCCTTCTTGCCAAACAAGCCATATAAAGACTGATGGATCGCTCAGCAAACGATTAGCTGCCCTCTGTCAACGCGTAGCAGTTTCCACGTTATTCGTGCATCCTGTTTAGTTCCATCTGACTTACCATGTAGGTGTGTGTCTGCAGTCGACGACCTCATTTCATTTATTTTATTTTTGCAAAGTCAGTTGGCAAAGCAAACTGATTTTTAGACTATTTATCTCCCCCCGACCCCAGTTCAGAATCCTCGAGGAACACACGAGTCATCGCAGCGCCGTCGCCTCGGAGCGTAACCGCACTTGCGCGTGGTCGAGGCCGAGCCCCGCGAGGGCGGCGGCCCCCGAGTGTGTGTGGTCAGCACCTGTACAAATGCATTTTATTTGCTATAGTTTGTAAAGCTGTAAAGTTAAAGAGATGGAAACCTTTTCAGCATAAATATATTTTACTTGCACTGTGTTTTTTAGCTGAAAGTGAAAACTTAGATTAAATAAAATCAAAGTTGAGAAGAATCATCAAAGACTGTTTCTCAGTGTGAATCAAGTGTTGGAAGCGGTGTATTTTGTCGGTGACCGTACAAGCTCTTTGGCACAGGACGCAGATGCTGTGTAAACTATAATTATTTTGCTAAGAGACTGTATGCAAGCCCGGCCCGCTTCGCCGGGCCCAGGGCAAAGCCCCTTCTTTGTACCTATTTTTTTATTACAAATATACTAATTGGTTCTTTATATTTTCAGAGGTTATTGTATGAGATTGTCTATCAATAGTACTTTTATGACTGTAAATACTCTGCACTCTCCGTGTGAGTTCTCACCTTAGACTTTGATTCGCGCGCGCAGCCTGAACGCTGATCAGTATTTTTATCAACACCCAGGAACTGTTACACCTTTTATTTTGTCTTTTAGGAAATCCCCGTCTTTCCATTTTTTCATGTAAATTTTGCACAGTTACTTGTTCATATGTAAATATTTTACTTTCAAAAATGAAGTTTTTAATTGCTATTGTTTTATATAGGATTGAAAGAAAATTAACTCCTTTATTAAAAACAAATTTATCTGTACTTGTTTTGCCTGTTTTTCCCAAGATTCCCATTTTAGATTCGCCCGAGGGGTCTGTTTGTAGCTGCCTGTTGGAATCGGCAACCAAAACACAGGCCGGGGCCTCCCTGGCGCGAGCACACTGGCTCCGCGACCGAGGGCCTGGAAGCTGAGCTCGCGCCTTGTGCTCCCGCAGCCCGGCCGAGCTGGGACACAGGCGGGGTCTGCTGGGTGCACACTGGGGCTCTCGTCCTGCAGATGAGCTGCGCGGGGCAGGGGGACCCAGAAACACGCCTGGGTCCTGGCTTAGGTGACCAGATGGCCCCAGCCCTGACGCAGACCCCCATGGCGGCCCTGCTTGGTCGCTGTGGGTGCCTCAATGTTACGGGGCAGCTGTGGCGAATCCCGGCCCCTGGTGGGGCACGTGTCAGAGGCGCAGCTGCTCGCCGCACGCCCACACGCGGCGTGAAGTGTAGTCGCTCTCCCGCTCTGCTGTGCACTGGCCGCTTCTCCCCCCATCCAAGTGCTAACCAGGCCCGACCCGCTCAGCCTCCGAGATCAGACGAGATCGGGTACGTTCAGGGCAGTTTGGCCGTAGACCAGCTGTTTCTTCCGACTGTGCGTTTGTACCCGTTAGTCAACCTCTCTCCACCCCCACCCCGCACCCAGCTCTGGTCACCGCTCACCGACTCTCTCTTTTTGAGTATATATTTTTTAGATTAGTGTTTTGCTGTGTTACTGAGAAAAATGAAATGTAAATTCCTCTTTAAGAAAACCAAGGGTGTCCTTATGAAAGTACAAAAGCAAGCCACAGACTTGGAGAAATGTTTGCAGAATTCACACCTGACAAAGGAATAGGGAATTCTACAGCCCAGTAATAAAAAACAACCCAACAGAAAATGCGCGACACGAGCAGGTACTTCACAACAGCTGCGCGAAGGGCGGGCGGCAAAGGAAAAGGTGCGTGTCGTTGCCGGCTTCAGAGAGATGCAGATTAAAACCACAGGGAGGTTCCACTGCACACAGCCCGCTGGCTTGAATCTGAAAGACATATCAAATGATGACAGCCGTGGGACAGGTGCGTGCTCACGATGCTCGCTGACCGTGACATGTAGCCACTTTGCAAAACTTTTGCATTTTCTATAAAGTTAAACATAAGTCTACCATGTGACGCAGCAACCCTGCTCCCGAATGTCCACTTGGGAAACGGTACCTTTGTCCACCAGGAAGACACCAGAATGTCCGCAGTGGCTTTATCCATCGATGGACCTGGCAGTGATGTCCGGTGAGCAGGTGGGTACCGGGGCGTCTGCTCAGGGCCGTGCCACTGGGGGACGAAAGGAGCCGTCACTGATGCTCCGCAGTGTAGTTGGCCTTGGTGATGCCGAGGGAGGGATGCCGGACACAGGCGCCTGCGCCCTCCGATCCCGTTGGACGGGGGTCCAGGCGCAGGTGGTGCTGTCCACGGTGGTGGGGTCGTCTGGAAGGGGCACGCGGCCTCTCGGTGCCGGGAAGGTGCTGTGTGGTCTGTGTGGCACGAACACAAAAGCCTCGCTGACGGGTAAGACATGAGCATCCTGACGCATGCACATACGGTGCGCCTAGTGCAGCGCGGGAGGGCCGCGGAGCTGAGCATCGCCCCGCAGGTGGCCTGCCCGCACCTCAGTGACCTGCTCCAGGTGAGACGGGGGCGATGCGTGGGAGCCTGTCACCATCAGTGCTGTTATCACAAACCTGGTGACTCCCCAGGCACCGAGCTGCTGGCACGTTTCCCTTTGTGAGACGGTGATCTCCAAATGTCATTTTTTTTTGTTTTTTTGAGACATAGTCTCGCTCCGTCATCCGGGTAGAGTGCAGTGGCATTAGCCTAGCTCACTGCAGCCTCCAACTCCTGGGCTCAAGCCATCCTCCTGCCTCAGCCTCCCAAAGTGCTGGGACTACAGGCGTGCGCCACTGTGCCCTGCCCTCCAAACGTAACTTTATCTAAAAAAGACAAGTCTCACTGAGCTGCTCCTCCAGCCCTGCCTTCGGGACACCCCTCCCCCGGGCGGGGCATCTGCTCGAGCAGCTCGACACATCCTCCTGTGTCCTTATTGCATACAGCAAGTGCTCAACCAGTGCCTGATCTCGCGGTGGTGGTTATGCAGTTAGACCAGCCCCTAGACAGCCTCCCCAAACCTTCCCAGGGAGAACAGTGGGGACAGACCCTCAGGACGGACCACGGCTCCTCCTACAAACGCATCTCGTTGCTTGTCAGGCTGCTTCATCAGGCTTCAGGTCCCTGCCAGGATTTCACACTTTTGAGAAGGGCGGGCATGTGGTAGCTATTTTTTCCAAAAAGTGCCACGAGCACCTCTCCTGCAGGCTGCCTTTCCAGGGGCTGGAGGGTGTGGGCCAGGCGCAGTTGGGGGCCAGCCCCCGGGGAGCCCAGCTGGCTGTGCTCCTCAGGTGGGCCTGGGGCGTGAGTGACCAGTTCCTGGAAAGGCCGAGAGGGTGTGGCGAGGCCGGGGCGGAAGGAGGCTGCAGGGAGAGCGCTCGGGTCGCAGCAGAAGGAAAGATGAGGCTTCCCTTGCTGGGCACATCTGAGAAGGGGCTGCTGGGAGCCACTTTTCACGGCTCCTTTGGAAATTCAAAGCAGTGAGACGCCAGTGACACCCGTGAGGGTGGCCCCGGTGAGAAGACGGACCGGGCAGGTGCTGGGAGGCTGCAGGGCTCTGGGAGGTTCATGGACGTGAAACGTTCTGCCCTTTGCAGAAACGTGCGTCTCTCGTGTCCACTCCTGGAGAAGCAAACGTCCAGGCGAAGCTCTATGAGCGCGTTCGCGGCAGGTTCCTCTGTGATAGCTGAAACCAGAAAGAGGCCGCTCGCGTACGCACACAGGGAAATGCTACGCGGTGAGGAGTGAACCGTGGGTTCGCGCGGCGCCTGCCGGCTGCTTCCAGACCTGAAGATGAGGGGTCAGCTGTGCTGGGGACTGCAGGGACAGACTTGCCACAGGGCAGGCGGAAGCTTTGCGGGTGATGGAAAGTGTGTTATCTCCACCACGGTGATGGTTTCACGGGGGTGTAAAATGTCAAGACTTCTCACACTGCACACTAGAACTGTGTGCGGTTTGCCGTACATCAGCTGCGTCTCGATAAGGCTGCAGGTAAACAGGAATAAAATTTAAAAAGCTGTGATCCAGTGTGAGGATAGCAACGTGTCCCACGTGGGGTGGGATAAGGCCAAGAGGAAGCGGCAGAAGGGGCAGGTGGGTGGGGCAGTGAGGAAGGGGTGACGGCTCTTGCCCCTGCTCCAGGGACAGCCCACTGCCTGCTGACGCTGGGAGGGGTGGGCGGCCGGAGGGGAGGGAGGTCTGGGGGTGGAGGTGGCACAGCAGGCATTGCTCGGGCCCCGCCCCCTGGGAGGTGGAGGAGCAGGAAGCAGGCAGGGAAGTAGGCTGGTCGTTTGCCGGAGCCCCCAGATGTGGCCCGGCCTCTGCAGTTCTCTGCCGCTGGGAGCCCTCAGATGCCACCAGCTCCAGGAAGCCCTCTGCCTCCCCCTTGACTGCCCACCCCACCCACCAGCAGCCGTCTGGGTCACACCAGTCTTCACTTCTCGGCTAGACCGGAGCTATGAACGTCTCCAGGAGCAAAGCCTGGTGATGACCGAGGTAGCAACACCTGAGTCTCCCTGGCGCTGGCACACTGGGCCACGCTGGCTCCACCTCCCTGCTGG